TGCTGCTTCCATGGCATGGGCAAAAATTCAAGGCTCTTTTGATCATGGATCCCGGATTGCTTATTTCATTGCTTTGTTCCTCTACTTTTCACTGGTTAGTTTCCTTACATATTTTTTTATATATATTGATGATCTTTGGATTTGAAGCTGAAACTTCCCAAGTTATAAGTTTGTTGTTTAATCAGTTGTTTCTATCAATTTTCTGCATTGCGTGTATGATTCAAAAGATTGATTACCAAAATGTTAAACCCTGCTATTTCCACTATGTTTGCAGGCTGTTCGGGTTAAATTTTTCTGTGGATTTAAGTGAGTATCCTTCTAAACCACTCTCCTTATTATTTTCTTTTAGTTCAGTTCTATTAGTAGAACGTGATATAATTCTCCTGTGTACAGGTTCTCATTGGCCTGGTGGGCGTACACTTTTCCAATGACTGGTGCAGCCATAGCAACTATCAGATATTCAAGCGAAGTCACAAATATAGTAAATCAGACTCTTTCTGTTATACTATCTGCAGTTGCCACTCTTATCGTAACAGCTCTGCTTGTAACAACCATAATCCATGCCTTTGTCCTCCGAGACCTCTTCCCTAATGACATTGCCATTGCAATTAGCAACAGAAAACCAAAACCACGCAGGAAGTGGTTCCACAGAAGAAATGGGAGCTCACATCATGCCAGATGCAAAAAAGGTGCTGATTTAGAAACTTGCTTTAATCCCCCTAAAACAGATAACAACGGAGTCCAGACTTATGCCTAAATTGATTACTCGCTGGTCCTTGTAAGTTTTGTATTTTCAGAACTCAAATAGAACATGTAAGGAACATAAATATTTAGGAGTTTGAGATGGTTCCAGTGACCATGTTTATAGGGAGAAAATGAAGGTTTTGTGTAGCAAGGGTGAAGTAGTGTACATGTAAAATCTTGAATGAGTATATAATTAGCATGTCTCTCAATACTTCTAAATAAATGGAATCAAAATTTGAGACAGTAGTTTTCTTTAACTTTTATGTTGCATAACCGAAAATTTGGTAGTTTCTTTCCGTAGAGAGCAGCATCATTATCGGATCATCTGGTTTGGCTGATAAAGTCTGGAACAATATCCTGAGCTGGCCTTGGAAGAGAGAAATCGTCTGATTTGGTCGAGAGCCGTCCGGAACCAACCTTAGAGGTTAGTGTTCTGGTTTGGCCGGTCCCTCAACTTTTATAACTACACCATACTGTCTCCCAAAAGAAAATTTCTGGTTCCACTTCCTGTCCTACCACATAAATGTATCAATCTGCTTTTTTCACCTATCATTCTTACCAAATCACTATAATTTTGTTCATGACTATGATATAACAGTTACAAATAAAGAGTTCTCTAGTCCATTTTAGCCTGCAAACATTGAATATGACATATCACTGCTTTTAGCATCCAATCGTTGAAAAAAATGAATGGTGTCTGCATACAAGCAGAACAGCTTTCCCATGGATGATGGCCTAAAAGGTAAGTCGAAATGGAATAATAGACACTAGACAGTTCCTTGACCTCATATCTATTCTAGTTAGTTAAGATTAATTTTCCAACATAACTTGGTAATGCCATGGTCCTAAACCAACCTGAATACATAATGAAAGACAGGATCACTCTTCAGTATATGCAGACTGCAGAACATAATTTTTTATTAAAATGTACTTGTTTGTTACTTTAATGAACTTTTCCAGAAACAGATTTCTCAGAGTATGGTTGTTTCTCCAAGGCCAGGACATGCTACCAGCCCCATTGAGGACTTACCGTGGGACTTACAGACCTATCCACAAGAAACTGCTAGAAGCAACGGGCAGTCAAAGACATCGAAGCAGCTGAGCTCCAACAATGCGATGCAAGGCTGCCATGAATTATGTCTTACTGTTGAAACTAACATTCAATGAAGAACTAATGAAAAACCTCAAACAACTCATTGATTTAGAACCCTGAATGTTCAAATCAATACACGGTCCCTATGGGGGGATATAGCATGTGCATGCACTGTTTTTCACCGTCCTTAAAGCTTTAAAAACGACCTCAAGCAGAACACATGACACACGGTACGATCTTAGTCCCTTCCCCGTTTGATTTGTTTCTTGTCTAGTAAGGTAGTACCTCTTTAAATTATCGAAAGTCTTAATGCATTTCTATCCAGATATTGGAATGAAACCAAAGTCTATTATTTGTTCATTCATACCTCTATTAGTACTCATTAATGCTTGAGTTTGTAAAATAGAGATGTTGCATGTTACTATCTTGGTAACGGATTGTTGAAAGAATATTTTAAAAAATTAACAACTTAAAATTTTAAATTAAAAATTTTAAATTTAAATATTAAGGTGAATGGATAGAGAGATAAAAAGAAAAAAAAAAGTTATATTTTATTATATAATTTATTATTTGATTTATCCAAAAATATTCTAAAGAAAATTAACATAAAATTAATATGATTCAAAACTTCAATTAGTATAGCCTAGTTTCATAGACATAGTCAGGTTAAACTTTTGTCAAGAACAAGTTTTTACAGACATTATTTTCAAAGCCCATGTCCTCATCATGCAACTCCGTGCCAGATCCGGTGAGCACTCTGACATTACTAATGAAGTGTTAGAAGCTACAGGTCAATAGGGGCGGCAAGTAGCACGAAGGAGGTCTTGGTCCCCCCACAAGGCTAGACTTTGGTTCAGTTGAGCAGTGGGAAAATACAACGAGGAAGACAAAATGAAGTAGATGGGAACAGAAATTGAATGTTTAATGGTGCTTGGCTATTTCTCCTAGCACATTTTGTCCATGTCTCCTGATGCTGCTGACTGACATGTGAAAGGTTTCTCCCTCAAAAGCTAATTTTCGTGCCCACTTCAAATGGCTAAAATTGGGCCACCTAAACGCCTAAGTTGCAGGCAAATAGCCTAAAGGGCTAGAGGAGAACAGGCATCTTTTTTATGAGGACATGACCCATTTCACATGTTGGACCCCATGTTCTTGGGGGACCATAATTTCCTTTATTCTCTTTTTGATATTGATCATGATGATCCTTTTTCCTTTAAAAAATAAAATAAAATAAAATAAAATAAAAATCATGTAGTGCAGTGTGATTTAGAAAATTAAGAAATTGTTAAGTATTTTTAATAAAATAATATAATAAATAATTTTATTAAAAATATTTTAATAAATTTATAAATTAAATAGATCTTTTAATTTATAGTTTAATCTATAAAATATTTTTTTAAATGAAATTTCTCCAAATCAAACCTAACATTTTTAAAAATCTCAAAATTTAATATTATTATGATGAATGATGATGCAATAATTAAGAGAATATCTTAAAACGTTACATTAAAAAGAAAAAGGAAAATGATTGAAGTACAAACTTGTGTTTTGTATAGAGAGATTGTCAATTCTAAGATTAGACTTAATCACTTTAGATTTTTTGAGTGAGCAATTCTGGATTATTATTTACTTTTTTAACATGTTATCAATCTTTGTTTGTTCTAGTGAGTTACTATATCAAATCTAGTAGTTCTAATATTAGGTATGTGATATTGTAACGAGTCTGTATTGTTGCAACACATAAACACGTGGGAAGAAAGCATATTATTAGTAAATAAATCAACTCTTAAACTTTTACCTCCTAATTACAATTTAAACATATGTCAAGATGTTCTTCACAATAGAGACAAATTTGTAAAAGGTAGTGTCTACACCATGATGTTGCTGCAACTCTTTGTCTCCCTTTTGGGCTTTGTTAAAATTCTCCTTGATGATTTCTAACTTAAAATAATTCTGAATTCAGGCATGTAGCTCACTGATTTGGTCTATGATGAGCTTGTCTTACCTAACTAAATTTTTTTAGATACCTAACAAGATAAATAAAATGCTGCATAAAAATGTGTAGCAGAATACTGCTGCGAAGGTAAGGGCAGCAAAGGAGCCATGTGCATGATTGTGTTGCAAAATCAGGCTGAAACTTGGTTTATGCAAGATGTTGCTCAAATGTCACCAATGGAATCATAGGTTGTCCAAATGTGAAGCATATGCTTGCTTGTTTTTGGATTCTTTGCTTCTTGGATACGTTGATTTTGTTCATTTGTACCTGAGAAGATACACAGGAAGAGAAAAAAATGTAGGAACATTTTCCCCCTTAAATTGTAATCCAATTCGCATAGAAAAAACATAATCAGATGAAGGCAAGGACTAAACTAAACCAAGCATGAAGAAGCGGAAAAATGGGAATCCATTTCTTTCCATGCTATATTCCGTTTAAATAAAGTATACTGGATGCTCCATGGGATAAGTCTATGGATGTGGGGGATATTTTGTGCTTAATAAATTTTTTTAATCTAATTAAATACAATTCATGTTGTGATTATGATTTTTAAAAAATATATAAGTTTCAAAACAATCTTAATCTAAAACCCTTTTACCAATTAGACTTAAGTCATGATTTTTCAAGTTAAAACACTAAAAGAGTTAGCAAAATCTAGCAACCAAGAATTAACAAGCTGTGATGGTTAATGTATTTTAATCCCCAAGTTCCCTGGTACTAAATTATATTGGAAAGTATGGTATAGACAATTTGAGCTTGTGGGTTCAAAAGATTTGTTTCCTTTTAGCATGTGGAGAGAGAGATCTGATTTCGGAGAAAGTGAAATAAGGAAAAGAGAAGGAATCTGGGAAAAGGAGAGAATAAAATAGTGCCATGCATCCAAAATAATAGTTGCAGCAACAGACTTGGATTATCTTAATGCAATATCAGCTCCACTTGGCGCAGGTTCAAAACTTAATTTTCTTAGCATACCATCGAAACATGCATGAAAATTATGTTGTTGTGATTGTGAAACAAGGGATTGACATGGCTAAAACATGCAGTTCTGCAGAAGCTGTTGTCAAGACGTATCAAACTATTCACATTTTTAAGATTTAAAAGAAAAAAAATGATAGTTTTACCTGTATGATCATCATTTTCTGCAGGAAGAGATATATAGGATCAATAACAGGACCTCGATTTTCATTTCATAATAAGTTTAGACTTTACAGGAAAAAAGGGAGAGGATTCCTTGAAGTTTTAAGTATTTCTGCTATCAAGGAAAAATACAAGAGCAAAATTTCAATGCCTTCATATACATATCTTTTTCCCCCTAAAAGCCAAAGTGATATGGGGAATTATCTGCATAGCTTTCTTACAGGACAAATTTACATTATCTTCTCAAAAGGAAGAGAAGAAAGGGACAAAGAACAAGTGACAGATGATGAACTTCTCGACACCTTTTATTTCTCTCCCATGTGGATTTGTTATTGATCTTCCTCCATTCATTTTCCTGAAAACGAAATAGTAACAATTGATGTCATAACCAAAGCCTTAATCCAGAATGATCAGTTGCAGTGATAAATCGATAATAAACAAGTAAGACGGACATACCGATGGATCTCTTGCAATGCAGAACTGCCTCATAAATAGAGCTTTCTGAATCACATGACTTGCGCCAATCATCGGCAGAGTAAGCTACGCTTATCCGTGGAGTTGTATCTGTTGAATATACACGGTTCTTCATTACCTGGATTCTTGCATCCCCACCTTTGGTTCTGTCACTTGATTTGCTTCCTCGTATTCTTTGGTATAATGGCCTGAGAAAATCTAAGTACTTTGAAAATAATCGCTTTGACATTTTTTGACACCTTCTCAAAGAAGAACATTTCAGTTTACTTGCTGGGAGAACGAGTTTTGGCGCATTTGAGGAGGTAGGCAGGGTTGAAGTTGAATCGGAGTCCCCATATGCCTCAGTTTTCAAGGGGTCAACAAAGAGAGGCATCAAGTAACCATTAGAAAAGAGTTCATCGGCATGAACAACAGTAAGAGGAGATGGTGAAATGGGAAAATCAAACTTTAAATCCAGAGAGTTTCTAAAGAATCTCCTAGAGGATGGCATTCTTGGGTCCATCTCAATGAATGAAGCTTCATCATACGCATCAAGAGACACCCTATGGGAGCTATCTAGGCTCTCTAAAGATGGTTTCAGGTTCACCAACCAACTATATGAAAAACTTTCAATTGACAGAGGCTGGGAGGTTTCCATGGCCGCCACTCAGTAAGGCTATGCAGAAAAACAGAGAAGAAGAGACTCAACTTGTATTGTAAGGGAAAAGGACTACAAGGTGGATGGTAGCAAACGCCGGTTTCCTAGATAACCTATTTATATATACCGTAATATCCTCTTCCTAACCATTCTGTACATGATTGTCCAGGAAAGAGACAATGAATTTTAATAATTGAAAAGGGAATGAGAGAAGAAACAGAAATGTGAGCCCCCACAAGCACTCATACTGTCTTGTTTCATCAACCCTTTTACCCTACACTCACTCCTTTTAACTTCACAAAATAAATGGCCCTCACCTTACTAATATGTTTAGTCCATATACTAGATCACAATTCAGAAGAAATTAAAAGGACAAAGAAACATGATTTATGCATTATTCATAGTTTATTCAGGGTTCAAGCTGTTCCTCAAGAAACTAGAGTAAACAGAGAATCATAAGAAGTCTCATGCTTTTTATCCTTTCTTATTGAAATGGGAAGTAAGCAAGAGGATGAATTAGGAAGCAGGTTCATGCACTGACACAACTTATCCAAGATTCCCCAGAAACATTTATGCCTTGAAACTCAACTAAAAGAATGCATCACATGTTCCTGGCAAATTGTTGATCTCACTTAGCTTGCTTTTTTTGTTGTGATATTATATTCTAATGTTTATAAAATTTTTTGATGGAGTCTGGGGATAGTCAGTTTGTAAAGATGAGCACACCCATTCTGATGCTTACATCCTAACAGCTATGGCTCTAGACTAAAAACCTAAGGGATGAAAGACCTTATAATAATTGATTATAAGAAAATATGGGAAAACCATAGGGAAAAAATCAGCAAAGTAAATTAATAAACAGTCCAGACTGCAAAACATAGATCATCAGATCAGGAGGGCCTGCCCCATCTGATGGTTCATGTTGGATGGCACAACACTTCTTTTACTAGAAAAATTATAAAAACTACTAGTCCACAGTACAATGGAGAATTACTACAAAACCATGGCAAACCTTTAATGCTTTCGTTGACTTTCATTAAGCTGTTATCAAATGTATATTATCAGATTCTGACATTCATAATCTGCATAAGTTTGGAAAATGAAGGAAACAAGAATAACTAATCTGTCACATCCCATATAACCTCACATGAAAAGAAGGAAAAGGAAGAAAGACGTAATAACCAGGTTAAGGAAAAGTAGGTCCGAACATCATGATAACATTGCAATAATATTCACAGTACTGATGCATTACAGCATCTCAACAAGCATACAAGAAGACAGCGAGCATTAATTCAATGGCTCAGTACGGAAAAGATAAAATAAAAGAATAATGATTTGTTCTACAATCAGTTAAACAGATATATCTGAAATCTCAAGTTGAAGAAAGGGAAGAAACAAATAAATACCATCAAGTTCTCTAGGTAAGGAAATTTGAGGCTTTTGCATCCACTAACAGTCTGAGTAGTGGTGAGTGGAATCTCCTCAAAAATTAGAGTTTTGTCCTTTTAATTAAAAATAGAGGTAAATATTATTTACAGAGAACCTTTAAAAGAAAATATACCAGACAATGGTCCCCAGAGATGTCGGAGATGAAATGGACATTGACCACGGTTTCTGGGCCAAAAGCCAAAAACAGAAAGTGACTAGAAACCAACTGGCCTGCTGTGTACCCCCCTTTAAGACAAGAAGAAATAGCTAGAGAATCTAGCACTCATAAAGCATTTAATTTCCAGAAAGAATGTTTTTGAATGCAAAAGATATAATTATAGCTTTAGGGTTAAATAAGCATCCACTCAATACATCCAACAACCTAACATTAAGCAACAAAAATAAATGAGTATATATCTATCACCATTAAGATAAAAAAGACCTTGCATAGGGCAGGTTATATCTTGTTAAATTTACTATAAGGACATAATCTTTACAAGACTAACGGAGGACAGTGGTTTGCAGATGAAAGAGAAAGATGTACAGACTTGAACTGCCTTCTAGAATTATTCACCTTAACATGATCTCTGCAGAAGAAGGGAGGAAAAACTGGCAAAAGTAGTTACACAAATGTCAAGTCACACTAACTAATTTCTAATATAACATCCCTACAAAAATGTGGCTTTGGTGTAATTCCAATAAGAGTAACTGTCTGTCTTAAATATGTACAAAGAATGAAACTTTTAAAGAATCTCTCAGCAATGTTACTCTACGTCTTCAGTCTGTATATTATCTGCTAAAAGCCTCAGTGAATCTCATGTTATCGTAAAAGTGTGAAAGTATGCTGTTTTAAATTCACCGAAAGGCTTGAGAAGGAGCAAGATTAATGTGACATGGCACCATGTTCCATGTGACAGAAGATAAGAAGAGAAACTCACATCAGATGTGATATTTGGGCTAATTACATTCTGATATTGCCAGTCCTGTTAACCAAAGAACATGGGAGACATCTACCAAGACAAACATGGGTAAAAGCATAATTGAAAACAAGGTTGAAAGTACAACGGTGATGATAGCTGATTGAGAAAAAGTACAGATTTATCTCATGAGATCAAGAAGACAGGCATTCCAGAGGCGATGCAAGAGCATTGATACAACATGATTCCTTAACCACACCAACAGCCCTCATCACCATCCAAGGAACACAAATGGTAGCATCTGCCACATGTTAAAATTTGCAGACGAAAAGGTACTGACCTCACCAAATTGAATGCCAAACAGGCATGTATTTTCTCTGTGACAGGAAAAGAAAACCACAGAAGACAACATCCTCCCAAATCCAAAATCAGGGAAACAAATTGAGACTACACTGCATAGAGGGCTAGTGCCACTTGGCTTTACCCCATTTCATCTATGATAATTTCTCAACATTTAAAACAGTTAAGGAGTAGAGCAAGGAATGGGCAGCAAGCTTTGGTTGAATAGTGAGAGACAGTTGATCAAGGAAAACATGAGGGCATAACAGACCAACATCAACTTGCCACTTTATTTCAGACTAAAATGAACGTGTCAGACAGAGATGAATGCAATTTGCTAGAAAATAACAAAGGGTTACAATTCCAGCAAGACCTTCAGCCACATCAGTTAATAGGCTGCAGAGGGTATTTCAAGGACTCCTTTCCACTACTGAGCTAAAAATGGAATTGTCCAAGATACAACCAACCAGACTGACAATCCAGAGAAGTACAAACCGCAGCAAAAAAATCTATCTTCAATTTTCTTTTCATATATATTCCAATATCTAGGACTAAAGCGAATGGTCAATTTGATCGTTGAAAAGTTTTATCATGGACTTATGATAAAAATACTTATTATTACACAACCAGTCCAATAAAAGTTTATAAAAATTAAGGGAATCACTTATTAGATTTTTTATGCAATTTTATCTTAAAGCAAGAAGCCTAGGAGATGACTTGGACTACTTAACGAATCCAGATGTCAGTATCAGAATCATCACAATCTACACTGCCAACATGTTTGAAACAAGCACAGGATCTAACAGGCACCAATACCATCATAACCACCACTGTAATAAAGTCAACAACATACAGGCCGGATCTTCTGTTTGTCCAACTGATTGAATAATTATTCCAAAATCCTGCATGATATAGCTTAATTTCCAATAATTGCTTTAAAATAAACTTAGAGAAAAGTTGTAAAGAAAAAAACGAACTTTGTCATTTTTTCTATTTAAGAATACAAACTTTTCGGGTTTTTAAATCAGGCAGTAAACTCTCATTTTTTTTCTAAATAAGAATACAAACTTTGCATTTTTTTCTATTTAAGGATTTATTGGATGTGATGATGACATGCCAAATGGCAATCTTAATCAAAATAGAGCAAAGTTCATATCCTTAAATAGAAAAAATGGAAAAGTTTATATCCTTAAACAGAAGAAAGTAAATGTTTACTGCTTCATTTAGAAACCTAAAAAGTTCATATCCTTTAATAAAAAAGTAACAAAGTTTGTATATCCTTATTTGAACCTTTTCTCATGAATCATTCATATGAGCATTTGTAAGAGATGACACTGATTAATGATTACTTTCTAAACAGTATTTCTCAAATGTTTGATATTTTAGAAACTACTATTTCAAAAGACTTTACTTTTACTGTAAATCAATTATTGGAAATTTATAGATAGATATATATGCTTAAAGCTGAATCTGCAAGATAATGCCCAGACCATGGAAGTAATGGACGACAAGAAAAGCTGTATGGTCAATTCTAAAGTTGGTTGTCTTTGGATAGAAACGAAGACAAATAACTAGAGACTATGTAATCTCAACGTGGAAGTTAGAGATCCACACATCAGTTGTATCAACTACATCCATACAGGCAATCTTCACATTTTAAATGTTAAAACATCCTGATTTTCACATTTCTCATAATTAGAAGCATTTTTTTTGTCTGAAACATCTTTTGGTATTTAAGTGAAATAAAAAAAAAAAAAAAGCTTTACCTCAATGGTCTTCCCAGTCCATGGCACTGCCTAAGCTTCTGCACAAAGACTTAATCTTGAACCTGAGATATAAAATGCCAGATGGTTCAATAATCATGAAATCTGATTGATGAGCTATTCATTAATTTTGCGTTGGACTGCTAAAATTCATTCTCTTAAAATAAAGGCTCTAGTTAACAACACTTCAACAAAAGTCGCACCTAAGCTAAGGCAAACAATCTATTTGTCAAGAAACTCAACTCCCCAAGAAAATGCTCCAATTTAACCTATAATCCAAGCATAATTTCATCAAGAAACGAAAGCTTCATAATTGATTTCAATTTAGTATCACTTTTCCCGCATTTTCAGTAACCAAGAAACATAGAATTAATCAATGAGAGCTTACTCTGTTCGAAGAGCTAGATAGAGCAGTGACACCCAAGTACCGGCCAGAAGTGAGGAATCGAAACCCTAACCGTAATATTATGAGCCAAAAAAGGAATTTGACGGTGAAAGATACCGTAGCAGCAACAGCTTGACATTGCAGCGGTATCGGAATAGCTAGAATCCGGAGAGTAAAAGAGGAATTGTTTGGTTGTCGTTCCTTCACCATAGGCTCTAACGCCTATCTATCTCAGAGAAAAGGCGACGACTGTGCTCGATTCCCCTAAACGCTGCGTTTTGACTCTGAATTCGATCATATTCATCCCCACTTGAAAATGAGGATCCTACTCTGATAATTTGAAGAAAATCCGTGTATGAAAAGGGTGAAAATCTGAAGAATTTCCATGGAGATTGCTCCGATTGCGTGTAGAAAAGCTTCTTCCTTTCGGTTGGTCGTAGCCCACTTAACGGCCACCAGTCGGCGAACACGTGCCGCCATGTCCCTTTTCGTAGCTCCGCCGACCATCCATGATGACAGTTTTTTCAAAGTTTTAGCTCACCCACCACTGCACAGCTGTTATCTTCTCCCAGTTTCTCTCCCCCACTTCTGGAAGTACTGGACTTCTATATTTAGTAACCTCTTTAGTAGTAATATCGATAGCTTGACTTGCAATGGCTGCTTCGTGGTTACTCTTGCTTTTCCAGGTTCTTTTTGCGTTTAGTGGCTGCATTGCTGGTGCTAGCCAGATTGGTCTGGGTTCGAGACTGTTGGCTAGTAAAGGAGAAATATGGGGTTCAAACAATAGGACTTTTGCTTTTGGGTTCACTCCATCAGACACCCATGATCGTTTTCTTGTTGGTATTTGGTTCACGGAGCTTCCTGGAGATAGAACTGTAGTTTGGTCAGCTAACAGGTAAGTTTCTTCTACAGATTATAACTCTACTCTGCAGTATTTTTTTCTTTTTTTCTTTTTTTTTTTGGAGAAATACTCTGCAGTATTTGCAAAGTGTTTTTTAAGTGTTTGAGCATAATTTTGTTGTTTACTGTGTTTGCTCGATGGTTGCTGTTTTAATGAGTTTTTTTGAATTGGAAAAAGATTAGAAAACCATTTCCTACATGTTTTTTAAGTGTTTGAACATGATTTTTTTGTGTAATTCTTGAAAATGTTGCTTTATTTGCTGGATGGTTCTGGTTTAATGGTTTTTTTCTTGATTTGGAGAAAGATCATAAAGCCATTTCCTACATCTACATCTAGTCTTTTACAAAAGCTCTTGCAGGTAATATGATGATGAACTTTAAGCAAACACTTTTTCTCTCAATGATCATCTAAATAGAAATTCTCCCGTCACCAAAGATGCAATCTTGGAGCTGGACACCACCGGAAACTTAATTCTAATGGACGGAGAGGCTACAGTTTGGGCATCAAACACCTCAGGTGCCGGGGTTGAATCTGCAGTCATGTTAGAGTCCGGCAACTTTGTCCTCTACACAGCCAACCATCGTCCTGTGTGGCAGAGCTTTGAGCACCCTTCTGATACTCTTCTCCCTAACCAGCCTTTGACAGTGTCAATGGAGTTAACATCATCAAAATTGCCATCACAAGGTGGCTATTATGCTCTCAAAATGCTCCAACAGCCCACTTCACTAAGCCTTGGCTTGACATACAACTTGCCTGAATCATATGATGCTTCTTCCCCTCAAGCATACATGAACTACTCCTACTGGTCTGGACCAGATATCTCAAATGTCACTGGAGATGTTATTGCAGTATTAGATGAAGCAGGAAGCTTTGGAATTGTGTATGGAGAATCAGCAAATGGAGCAGCGTATGTGTACAAGAATGATGCTGATGACACTGGATTGTCTTCAGCGGCAAATAAGTCCAATTCTGACACACGACTATCAGTTATTCGGAGATTGATTATTGAGAGCAATGGGAATATACGTTTGTATAGATGGGATAATGATGTTAATGGGTCACACCAGTGGGTTCCTGAATGGGCGGCTGTGCCAAACCCTTGTGACATTGCTGGGATATGTGGAAATGGGATATGCAGTTTGGACAGAAGCAAGACTAATGCTTCCTGTACATGCTTGCCTGGTACTTCTAAGGCAGGCAGTGAAAGCCATTGCTTTGAGAACTCATCCCTGATCGGTAAATGCGATCCCCGAAACAACAATCAGACACATAAATTCAAGATTGCAACAGTGCAACAAACCAATTACTACTTCTCTGATTACTCAGTGATAGCAAATTATAGTGACAATGAAACAGTGTCACAATGTGGCGATGCTTGTTTATCAGATTGTGAATGTGTTGCTTCTGTTTATGGGTTAGACAATGAGAATCCTTACTGTTGGGTACTGAGGAGCCTGGACTTTGGTGGGTTTGAGGATACCAGCTCCACTCTTTTTGTAAAGGTGAGTGCTAATGCCTCTTTGGGACCTAGTGGCAGTGATGAAAGCTCCAGGGGCTCTTCACAAAGTTCCAGCAATGACCCTAAGAAAGTTGTGGTTCTTCCTATTGTATTATGCATGGGTGTCCTAATTGGGCTCCTGTGTCTATTATTATACTACAATGTTCACAGAAGGAGATATCTTAAAAAAGCCATGGAAAGGTCTTTGATTCTCTCTGGTGCTCCAATGAATATTGGCTACCGTGATTTGCAAATATGTACTTCCAACTTTTCCCAGTTGCTTGGAGCTGGTAGGTCTGCCAAACTCTGTATAAAAACACAGGATACAAGATTTAAAGAAGGGGGGATTCTAGATAATAATAATAATAATAATAATAATAAAAAAACAACAACAACAACAACATAGAAAATGGGTTAAATATATTAATATAACTGTTTTAGTTACTAGTCTGATTTTTTACAGGAGGATTCGGCAGCGTTTACAAGGGAAGCCTCACTGATGGAACTCTGGTTGCTGTGAAGAAACTTGACCGTGTTTTGCCCCATGGAGAAAGAGAATTTGTAACTGAAGTGAACACCATTGGCGCCATGCATCACATGAATTTGGTCAGACTCTGTGGCTACTGCTCTGAAGGTTCACACCGGTAAGCATCATTGCATTAATAAGTTGGATAATTGAGAACACAAACTTGACCTTTCTCTTTGGAAAATCTTCATTTACAGGCTTCTAGTGTATGAATTCATGAAAAATGGGTCATTGGACAAATGGATATTCCCATCCTATCAGTGCCGGGACAAGCTGCTGGACTGGCCAACTAGGTTTAACATTGCCATCGCCACTGCACAAGGAGTTGCATATTTTCACGAGCAGTGCAGGAACAGAATAATACATTGTGACATTAAACCGGAGAACATACTGTTGGATGAGAACTTTTGTCCAAAAGTATCAGATTTTGGATTGGCTAAGTTGATGGGAAGGGAGCACTCGCATGTTGTCACCATGGTCAGGGGAACCAGAGGATATCTGGCGCCAGAGTGGATCAGCAACCGTCCTGTTACTGTGAAAGCTGATGTTTATAGTTATGGAATGCTGCTGTTGGAGATCATTGGTGGCCGGAGGAACCTCGACATGTCTTTTGATGCTGAAGACTTCTTCTATCCTGGCTGGGCCTTTAAGGTAAGTTATGACTCCTACTAGAAGCTAATTTGTACTATAATTAAAGCTACAGAACCTGATTGGACTGTGTTGGTGGAGCATCTGAGAAGATAATATTAGAAATTGTTAAAATTCATGTCGGATTATTTTTTGTAGGAATTGATAAATGGGACTCCAATGAAAGTTGCAGACCGGCGACTAGAGGGGGCAGTGGATGAAGAAGAGCTGGCTCGGGCACTAAAAGTAGCTTTCTGGTGCATCCAGGATGAAGTGTTCACGAGGCCATCAATGGGGAAAGTAGTAAAGATGTTAGAAGGAACAGTAGATATCAAAACCCCACCAATGCCTCAGACAGTTTTGGAACTGATTGAAGAGGGGTTGGACCAGGTTTACAGAGCCATGAAGAGAGAGTACGCTCAGAACAGTTCCTTCACCATCACCAGCCATCCATCATCTCGTGCTACATGTAGTTATTCTACCATGTCGCCTAGATGACTGTAGGCAAAAGCAGAAAATAGTTTTGTTTGGATCATATAATTTTACTTTTGATAATAGGAAAGAGATGCAAGTCAACACCATCCTTTTAATTATGTGGGTTGAAATGAAATGAATTGTATTCATGATTTTCATTTTTGAGTGAAAAAAGCATCCCTTCAGTAGATCCAACAACCTAACATTAAGGGTGTGTTTGGAAAACTCTCATAGGAAATATCACTTTTCAAGATTTTATAAAGATATTTCAGGCTTTCAGCACTTATATACCTTAAAAAAATAATAAATAAAAAGCAAAAAGAATATTTATTTTTCTTAATATAATTTTCAATCTATTAATTTTTTTCTAATATTTTTTAAGAAAAAAAGTTTTTCACAATTTTTCTTTACCTACTTAATAATTTTATTTATATTAATTTTTTTACCAAACATAACAAAATTTATAATTTTAAAAAAATTAAAACATTTTATTACAAAATTTAACAACTTTTCATATTATATTTTTTAACTTTTTGTATAATATTTTTCTAATAACTTTTTAAATAAAACTTTCATAGCAAAATTAGCGTTTAACAGTGTTGTTGGGTTAATTTATGGTTCCGGATTGTTTTTCCAGAGAAGCCATGTCAAAAACACACAGCTTGCATACAGATTGTTTAATTCTAGACACAAAAATTAAGGCAAAAATGTAGGAGTTATTAAAGAGTATAATCAATTGGAGATTAATAAAAAAGACTGTAATTAATTTTCTTTAAAAGTAGCCAATTGTTTCTCAGACAATTTTTTTTCTGCATATTTCTGCCAAAAAAAAAGTTTTGAATTTATATTGCAATTATAATTGGTTAACTACATTTATAACTTGTTATTTTCTCCTAGCCAGGATTCTATCTTTCATGGACTAAGCTATTGTTCCATTTTGTGCGGCTTCCTCGGGAAAACATTCCCGGACCTGCACTAACTAAATGCACCTTAACCCTTCCCAGGAAATTTCCTGGGAGTCCAAGCTAACAAAACCTAGGCTTGACTTGGGATTTTGCTAGAGGAAATCTTTCTAGGGAAATGAATTAGTTTTATTGAAAAATAACAGGATATGTCAAATTTCATGCAATATCAAATTTGTTATGCAATATAACTGGTCACAAATTCATAACATTTTTTGGACACATTTTTTGATATTGAGACACACAAAGCCAATTTAAGGGTTTGTTTGGTTTTCAATTTCCCCGAAAAATGAATTTGGGGAAGTTGCATAACAAAATAACTTGACTTGATTCAAGAAATTAAACTTTTCAACATGAACTTTTGGAAGCCCCTAAAAAGGTAATAAACTTACCTCTATACAACGAAATTTTTTGTGGGGGACAATGAGGTTACAAAGGAAGTGGTGTGGGTAAGTTGGGATAAGGTATGTCATCCTAAACTAGATGGGGGCCTTGGGGTTAAAGACTTAAGGAAGTTTAACTTGACGTTGTTTGGGAAGTGGAGGTGGAGATTGTTAAATGAAGGAGATGCATTATGGAATAATAAGATCGTGAGTGCAAAGTATAAAGAAGGTAGGCTAACTTAGGTTGGGTTCAGAGCTAAGGGTGATAGCTCTAGTTGGTGGAAGGATTTGTGGAAGTTAGATAATGGAATTTGATGAGACGGAGGGCTAGCTTAGGAGTGGTATAGTGAGGGACGTTGGAAAGGGAAATGAAACACTCTTTTGGAAGGATATATGGTGTGGGGAGATTCCTTTTAGAGAGAAATATCATATGCTATTTAATATTTCCAAGGACAAAGAGGAAGTAGTTTCTAGGATGGGGAAGTGGACTAATGGAATGTGGTCATGGGTATGGAGGTGGCGAAGAAGACTGTTCATTTGGGAATCTAACATATTGCAAGAACTGTCAACCTCTTTGGAAAATCAAAAGCCAAAGCTTGGAAAGGATGAACGTTGGATTTGGAGGCATGACTTGAAAGGCTGTGCCACATTTGGTTTAGCACACAAAGTCTTGTTAACAATTTGGTGCTTGAGGGAATCCAAGAATAGAAGATGTTATTGAACAAGATTGTACCACTTAAAGTAGCTGCATTTGCTTGGAAGCCATTACAAGAGAGAATTCCAACAGTTGATAACTTGGCAAAGAGAGGATTGAGAAAGGAAGAAGAGGATGGCCTATGTGCTCTTTGTAGAGATTTGCTTGAAACATCTGAGCATCCTCTATTTACATGTCAAAAACCATGGGAAATTTGGACTTGTTATGAATGGTGGGGGCTCAATGTTGCATCTCAAGAGAAAAGGTGGATGCATCTGGAAGCAACATGCAAGTTTATTCCAAAGGAAAAACACTAGGAAAGTATGGTTGGTCATATGTTTTACTGCTTTATGGTCCATCTGGCTAAGGAGGAATCAAATAATATTCAAAAGGGAAATAGAGCTGCAAAGTAAAGTGATGGAATTGATAAAGTTTCTATTATTCAATTGGGTCAAGGCAAAACTAGTACTAGAATTATCCAAGGAATGATGGTATAATTCCCCTAGTAAGGCCTACATTTGATGGGTTACAAATGTAGGACATAGCAATACCAGGTGGTGTGTGTTTTACTCTGAGCACATTTGAACATGTTTTTGTTCTTAGCCTATATATCTTGGCACTGTTAATTTTGTAATGATTGAAGTACCTCTTGTACTCCATTTTGGTAATATAATTATCTTTGTTGATCAAAAAAATTTTTTTTGCAACATGAAAATCGAGATATAATATAATTGATTATAATAGTTTAGTAGTTGTTATTTTTAATATATATATATATAAATGATCATAGATCTCATATTGAGTTAAAGAGATAAAGGAAGTATAACACAATTTTACCTCACTGAAATGTACCCTAACATTTTATAATTTTTATATGCTACAACAAATATGTCTGCTTAAAAAATAGAATAAACTAGAAAAGATAACTACACAAATAGTTGTGAGTATCTAGCTATTCCTTTTCTTCTTTGGTGTTAGTTACACTGTGACAGCACACTGACATGGTATCTTGCATCCAAATAATGAACCTTAGCTTGAAATAGTCGCTTCCCAATCATCTTTTGCAAATAGACTCATCAACGATCTTTGACATTTGTTCAAAACCAAGCAAATTGAGGAGCCCACAAAGATCCCAAATGTTAAAAGGTTCAAAATAGAAACTTACTATTACACTTACCAAATCCAAAGGTTGCAACAAAACTTCATCCACCACATCACAAAATGAAACAAACCCCCACCATTGGAGGGATGACACTACACCAAACACCAAACTCCACTTGTAGAGATATAAAACCGCACAATAGGGCGGCACAAACCCTCATTAAAGGAGGGATGAAGCTGCACCAAAGGGTGGCACAGACCCTCACAAATGGAGGGATGAAGTACTACCTAAGAAAGGGTGGGCAAATTGCAATATGAAACCCCACCACTAAATGGACAAGGCCATCCATGCAGCTAGGGTTTTCTTTCCTCTTAGGGAACGATGGCTTTGATTAGGTTTTGCTCTTTATCATTCTCTTTTTCTTTTTCAAAAGTAATGTAAGTAAATATATAAATTTTTAAAAATCTTTAATTTAGAAAAAAAAGTCAGAAAATAATAATTATTTTAAAACAAAAGAAATACCAATAAAATAAACAAGAATTTACATAGATAAGTTATATCTTGTTACTAATTTCTAATATAACATGCCAAAAAAAAAAAAGGTGGCTTCTGTTTTTAATTCCAATTAAGGTTACTCTCTAAGTTAATTAAGTACAAAAAAATAAATCTTTTTGGAGAATATCTCAGTAACGTTACTCTCTGTCTCCAGTCTGTATATCATCTGCTAAGAGCCTCACTGATTCACATGTCATCGTAAAAGTATATATATAGTATGATGCTTTCAATTCAGCGAAAGGCTAGAGCAGCAGCTTTACTGCATCGACAGCAATATATCCAAGGAAAATTTGCGGAGGAAAAGTTACTGAACTCACCAAATTTAATGCGAAACAGACATGTATTTATTCGGCGACAGGGGAAGATAACCACAAGACAATCTCCTCCCAGACTGGGGACCAAATTGAGACTACAGTCTACACTGTATAGAGGGCGAGTTCCACTTTGCCTTGCCTCATTTCTTCTATGGTAATTTCTCAACGTTTAAGACAGTTCACGGTTATGGGAGTGGAGTAAGGAATAGGCAGCAAGCTTAGATTGAACGGTGATGATATATATAGGCCATACCAGTTAAGGCTATACAAGTTAAGGCTATACACCAACTA